GCTTCTGTGTATCCTCAAAAGCACTGACAATATCAGTCACCAGCTTTGTGATAGCATTTATTGTTAAGGACTTCTTTTTAAAACCAAATTGTTGGTCACTCAGAAGATTAAATTTGTTAAGGTATGCAAAAAGTCTATTGTTGTCATTTATACGGTCTGATCCTGATCCTGTATAAACTGGCAACGCTGATATTTATCGTTTCGTATTCGCTTTAAATCTAAATCTCTGTAATTTTCACATGCCCTTGTACAAAGCGTATTGGAAAGCCTTCGATAGCCGATATTGTATATTGAAACAGATACAACTAATTTCATTTGATACAATGTGACATAAATACAGTGGCGGTCATATCCATTCGCAAAGAGAGGAGCCAGTAAATCCAGAGGTCTCAGAATGTATTACATATTGCAAAGTTAAATCAGTAAACCAAAGGTAAATAAGATATGGATAATTTCAAATGCTCCTTTACTATTTGCAACAAAATCAATGTAGGGGAACATCAAGGCTCAGATGTGACCCCAACAGTATTCCTATTTGAGGTACAATCTTTCTGTTAACAGACGGAGATTAAATTGGTTTTTATATTAAAATGTATAGAGACAAAGGTATTTCATGTATTAAAATATATAACAATTTAATAATTTGTTTAATATTCTTCCAAAATATCCTATTTTCTTGCCTTTTCACGTAAATTCAATTTGGTGAGATAAATTCAATTGTAGATCTAACTTAACACCTAGATATTTCGCTAACTTGCTCAATAATTGCTACTGAATCAGTTTTGATGTCAAAGTTATTCCTTTTAAATAGTTTACAGTTTTGTCGTGTATACACTTTGTTTTAGCAGAGTTTTGCTTCAATTTTTTATACCTAAGCCAGCTTTTTTTACAAATGTAATAATGATTTATTTATTAATTTTACTGCGACCTCATAGTTAGTTCCTGATACATATAGAACCGAAAATATCTATTAATATCATTTATATAGAGAGGTTAAAAAGTAGAGGGCCCAGTACACTCCCTTAAAGAACTCCGAAGTTGCTTTCTAGTGTCTCCGATTTCTCATTTGTTATTTTATTTGTTCGGAATCTATGTTTTAAATCATTTTCTAGCCATTTGAGGACTGTAGCACTCCATATATGTTACATGTATTAATATTAGATTCTGGCGATCAGGTTTGTTTTGAATAGTATTTACTTCATTAATTTTTCATTTCTGTTTACTTCCTTAAATTCTTTGGCGAAGAGATATCCACCACAATGTCAATAATACTATTTAGTAAGTTTCCTATATTTTTCATTTTGTCCAAAATCTAATCTTGTTCTATTTCTTTCCGCTGCTGACAGAAATAATCCACCTAACCAGCACCAGCTAACAAACTTTCGTTTATCGACTTCTATCTCTTATCGATCTCTACTTTCAGTTGGAGCTTGATCTACGAAGACTTTATCTCTTAATGAAGATCTTGAGCCTTTTACAAATTGAATCAAATGCATGGTCTAATAATTTAACGCTTTAAAAATACAAATAAGAAATATACCAAACACTATCCTGGGTTTGTAAAAAATCAGGTTCTGTTTTTCAAAGTATGATGGTCGGTATCACTGTCTATCAAGGCGTAATCTTAATTATCATTTTTGATGCCCAGTCAGTGATGGACTCATTCTATAAAAATCTCTCTCCTTTCGGTCACCGATATTGATTTATTTGATGATCTGTTTGCTATATTTCCTCCAATATCCCAACAGAAATGGCTTGAAGAATCTCTTCTCTCTTCTCCAACCAGTTTTTCATGATCAATCCCAACTTTTATCACCAAGATTTCTTTACTTTCTCTTGAGTACTCTAATGTCCTAAGTGTTTTTGTTTTTTTTTTGGAATTTTTTACTCGTGGAAAAGTGTTTTAATATACAGCACTAATTATTGAACATGACTTTTAAAATATCTTTTCACAAAAAAGTTGTTTTTATTAAAAAATCTTGGAACCAGCAATTCTAAATTCAAAAATAATAACACTGCTCTGTACTCGCGCTTTAAACAAAATGTAAGTCCTAATAAATGACCAACAAAAATAAATATTATAGTAATTTCTCAAATGATATTTCTTTTTTACTGTATGATTAATATAAACAAATTTGCCAAAAAAAAAAAAACAAAAAACAGAACAGAAAAATGAAAAACAAACAAAAAGAAACTGCCTGGTTAATTGGTACATTTTGACCGATCCGCCTATTTGGGAAAGTAATTAATGTCCGAAAACTCCCGTATTTTCCGACCGATTACTAATATTTTAATTTTCTTCATTTCTTTCTACCGAGATCGCCATATCTAAATCTTTGTTGTTTTATGTTATTTTTTGTTGTTGTTTTTTTGTTTTTGTTGTTTTTTGCTGATTTTTGTTTCTTTCTTGTTGGTTTTTGTTTTTTTTTGTTTTTGTTTTTTGTTTTTATTTTTTGTTTTGATTTTGCTGTTGTTTTCTTTGTATTTTTGTTTTGGTTCTAGTGTTGTTTTCTTTGTATTTTGTTTAATATTGCACATTTGTGTGATATAAGTAATGTCTGAAAACTCCCGTATTTACCGACCGGTGACTGATATTTTAACTTTCTTCATTTCTTTCTACCGAGACCACTATACCGAAATCATTGTTTTTTGTTGTTTTTCGTTGTTTTTTTTTTGTTTTTTTAGTTGTTTTTTTAGTTGTTTTTTTGTTGTTTTTTGTTGTTTTTTTGTTGTTTTTTTGTTGTTTTTTGTTGTTTTTTGTTGTTTTTTTGGTGTTTTTTTTGTTGTTTTTTGTTGTTTTTTTGTTGTTTTTTGTTATTTTTTGTTGTTTTTGTTTTTTTGTTTTTTTTTTTGTTGTTTTTTGTTATTTTTTGTTGTTTTTCGTTGTTTTTTGTTGTTTTTTGTTGTTTTTTGTTGTTTTTTGTTGTTTTTTGTTGTTTTTTGTTGTTTTTTGTTGTTTTTTGTTGTTTTTTGTTGTTTTTTGTTGTTTTTTGTTGTTTTTTGTTGTTTTTTGTTGTTTTTTGTTGTTTTTTGTTGTTTTTTGTTGTTTTTTGTTGTTTTTTTTATTGTTTTTTTGTTTTTTTTGTTGTTTTTTGTTGTTTTTTGTTATTTTTTGTTATTTTTTGTTATTTTTTGTTATTTTTTGTTATTTTTTGTTATTTTTTGTTGTTTTTTGTTGTTTTTTGTTTGTTGTTGTTTTTTTGTTGTTTTTTGTTATTTGTTGTTTTTTGTTGTATTTGTTTTTTTTTGTTTTTTGTTTCTTTTTTGTTTTTTTTTTAACATGACTTTTACCATATCTTTTCACAAAAAAGTTGTTCATATTAATGATCTAGAAACCAGAAATTCTAAATTCAAAAATAATAACACTGCTCTGTACTCGCGCTTTAAACTAAACAAATGTCCTAATAAATGACCAACAAAAATAATAAATATTATGGTAATTTCTCAATTGATATTTCTCTTTAAATTAAAATAAGAAACTGTCTGGTAACGCAACTGGTTAATTGGTTCATTTTGACCGATTTGTCTATTTGGGAAAGTAATGTCTGGAAATTTTACCGACCGATGAATGATATTTTATTTTTCTTTATTTCTTTTTACCGAGATCAACATACCTAAATCTATGTTTTTGTATTTTTTGTTTTTTTTTTATTTTTTTTGTTTCTTTTTGTTTTTGTTTTTGTTTTATTTTTGTTTTGGTTTTGCTGTTATTTTCTTTGTGTTTTTGTTTTGGTTTTGGTTTTGCTGTGGTTTTCTTTATATTATTATTATTATTATAACACATTTGTGTGATAGAAAAAAATTTTTCATGTTCAAAGTGACAAAATAATACAACTGCCGTTTTCTTATGTAGTCAATAGGTAAATATAACTTAGCTGCCATCCACATTTCTTTTAAGTCATTTTGTTTAATTATAAGTCTATAAAATGCAGCTCTTCAATACAAGGTATAACGTACTGCAAAATGAACAATTACTTAATGAATACACACTATAATATGTAGATATATTATCTGAATATGGGTGTCCCGAAATTAGACGGTCATATTTTAACAGCATAATCTACATCCTAAAATAGGAGTAAAAGTTTATATAAACATAGGTCCGAAAACGTTTCTTTTCCGAGATACAAGGTGTTAAAAGTGAAGTCCTAATGACACTCTTTTGTAAATATTTTCTAAACGTTTAAAGATAACTAAGTGAAATTTGATACAATTGCTAACCTTTTTATGCCCTATTTAATGGACTGAACAGTTTTTAACATTTTTGACTATAAAATTTGGTTAACCAATGCTTTCTTTATAATAAAGCTACTATTGTTGCATCTCGCTAGGACGCACCATTTTCAAGAAAAAAGTTATTCGAAAGTGTAAACAATAATTAGTAGGCCTATGAAATCAAAAATTTTATTTTTTTTTCACTTTGGAAAACCGGTGACTAAAGAAATTTTAGAAAATATTTACATAAATGTGCCATCAGGACTTCACTTGTAACACCCTGTATCTCGAAAACGAAACGTTATCGGACCTATGTTTATATGAACTTTTATTCCTATTTTAGGATGTAGATTACGCTGTTAAAATATGACCGTCTAATTTTGGGACACCCTGTATATTTTTTTTTATTCTATATTGGGGTCCATTCTGTAACAATTCCTTTATATTTAACGGCCTTTAAAAATATTTTCTTCTTTACTTCTGTCATTATTTAAACGGATCTTTAAAATACATTAGAAGACTATCTTAAAGAAATCTGTTTAAATAATGAATACAAACAAATTTTTAAAGGTCGCCAATATTTTTAAAGGCCGTTAAATATAAAGGAATTGTTACAGAATAGACCCCATTATATATTATAATATATTATATATTATTCTATATTATAGTATTCTAAAAATAATAATGTATTAAAATTTTTCTTTTAATACGTTTTGATATTGAATCAGCCATCAACACATATTTAAATACGGGCCTAATTAATTATTATTTTAAGTATATATTACCTCTTCTTCTGTTTTGTCTTCTGAAGATGTGGTTGTTCGACTTGTAGTGGTACTAGTGGTTGACGATTTTCCAAAAATTAAAGAAGTCGCTCTCGCTCCATGAACATTTTGTGTATAAAACCATAAAATACCTGGAAACAAGAAACGTGTTTGATTATTTTTTTAATTATAATCATAACATTGTAAAAATCTAACTTCAATACATATTATTAATGTATATTTTAAGATAAATCGTTGAAGAAGACTTTTGTCTTTAATTATGATCCTTTGGGATCTTTTTAGATATCTTTTATATTTATTTTGATGAATTATTATTCTTCTAGGAATAGGTACCTATTTTTATAATTTATTATTGTTAAGAAATATTTTTGATTTGAAAAAATGTAGGCTAATAATTTTTATCGAGTTTAGTAAAAGATTATTTTAAGAAAAAAAGGATTGTATTTTGTAATTGATATATTGCGCCATCTAGCGGCTTGTTAGGTACAATATTAAAATTATTTTATATAAAAAAATAAGTCTTTAGAAATGTTTAAATTAACAGTTCACAAGATATGGCTCGTCGCCATCATTTAAGAATCGCAAAATTACTTTCTAGATGTTTCTCCGTGTTAAAAGGAAGTCATATTTATTATTTATTTTATTTAATATTAAAATATAGGTAATAAAATAAAAACAATAAAATCTTTTAAGATTGTCCACCTATTTTAAATAAATTGTTCAAGTAAGAATTTAATAATCATGAACTGATTGCGCTGACAGGTGATATACATTAATCATTTATTTTAATTTCTACTTATTTCACTTTCAAACAATAAACAATCCAATTAATGTAAACGGTTCAATAATTTACATTGTGTAAGTTTCTTTATTATAATGAACATTGTATATTCTGCAATGAACTATAAAAGCAAAATACGAGAGCGAATCATAGAAATATTTCTTGTTTCTATGACACGAAACACAAGTTTTATTTTTATATGGATTTTATTTGAAAAGGAAAATTTTAGAGGAACAATAATTACATGATTTGTCGAGTTTGTTCGTTTTGGTTTTTGTGTTAAACTTTATTTAATTTAACTGATTTTTGTCTACTTTAGTGCCTACTATAATTTGTTAATTAAATATTTACTGGTTTTCATTATGTAAAATGCGTTATTTTCTCTGTTTAATAGTTTGATAGTTTCTAGATTTGTGTTTTGTGTTTGTTTAAATCTTCGATTTTGAAATAGGTAGGTATTTTAAATATGAAAAAGATTTAGGAAGTACCATAAAAATATAATATAATATGACAAAAATAACATATTAAATAAAATGGTGCGAAGCGATAAGTATTAAATACTTGTGTCGCTTTATAGGAAAATTCAGATAATAATAATAATAATAATAATAATAATAATACCAATACAGTTCATATAATTATTATTATTTTATAATGAAACACCGAGTACCGAACATCCAGAAAATGAGAAGCTAAGGATAAACTTGACAGCTTCTCAGGCACTGCATGTCAGGTAGGTAAGCATGCCTAGTCATGTATGATTTTTTCTTTTCATTTTTCATGACAAAAAGAAAAAGAGAAGGAAAAAAACAAGTAAAAATGTTATAACCTAGAAAATATGTCCACACCTTTTAACTGAACAATACATTTCAAAAGCAAGTGATAGTTTTAGGCTAAATATATGAATATTCAATTTTATTATAGAATTTTAGTTTATTTCATCTTAGTTTATTTTTTTTTATTTTAATTGCTACCGATTATATCAATAGTTTCCTTTAAAATCCATTTCGCAATAATATTTTTAAAGTTTTTGTAATAAATTTTTGATTTTAATTCTTGAGGCAGTGAATTATAAACTTTTAATCCGAGGTATGAATAACTCCGTTGTCAGAGGGTTATTCTACATTTCGGTAAGATAATCTTGTTTAATTATTGTTTAGATGAAATCTTGTGTTATATTGGCGGCACATAATATTTATTTCCTTTGTTTTTACAAATTGAATCAAAGCTTGTTTACAATACAATTTTCTTCTAGTTAATATGTTACTGTATGAAAAGTGCTTCAGTGGAAAATCGTAGATTTAATTTAAATATTAGTTTAATTAGACGTTTTTGAATTACCACTAAATGTTGCAAAGTAGTAGTGTAAGCTCCTCCCCATCCAATTATCCCGTAATTTAATATGGATTGAATTAGGGCGTAGTAAAGTGAAATAAGATCACACTCACTAACTATTTTTGAGGTTAACTTAAACATATATAATAGTGATCTTATTCTTTTCACCAGATTAGTAATAGGTATGTATATTCCATTTTAGATTTGAGTCTATGGTTACTCCTAAATATTTGGCACTAGATGACACAGGTAAAGACCAGAATGGTAGATCTATTATTAAAGAATTTAAATTCGCTAAGACATTTTTAAAATTGTAGAATGGTAGATACACAGTCTTGTCTAAATTAATTGGTAAAAGATTTTCATCAGTGTGTTATTTTTTGTAAATCTCGTTTTAGGCTAGTTTCACTTCTAGCCAATCGTGTCCTTGAACAAAGGGAGCAGTATCATCAGCAAATGAGATTATGTTGCCATCAGTTTTCAAGGTAAGTAAACCGTTTAAATATAATATGGGCCCTAATATTGCACCTTCAGGTACCCCATAAATAACTTCTTGTGGTGCACTTCTATTTCCATTAACTTCAACTCTTTGTTGTCTACTGGTTAAGTAGCTTTTAAGGAGTAAAGGGGCTTTATCTCTAAATCCCATATCATAGAGCTTTAATAACAATTTTTAATGGGACTGTGCTAGATCTACGAATACACAGGCACATTTTTGCTTATCATTTAAACTATTGGAAATCCTTCTAGTCAATAATGCAATAGCTTCGCTAGTAGAACAATTTCCTCTAAATCCAAATTATGTATTACGTAATAAATTATATTTATTGACAAATTTTGGTATTTTCTCTTTCAAAGCTTTTTAAAAAATGTTTGCTATGCCTGATATTAAACTAATCGGTCTATAGTTTTCCACTCTATTATTTTCGCCTTTTTTATGTATAGGTTTAATGACAGGTTTAAACTGAGTTGGACAGATGCCCTGCTCAAACGCTAGATTAATTAAATATGCCAATGGATGACTTATTTGATCTTTTATTTCTTTCAATAGTTTTACCGTTATTCCGTCTATTCCTGGTGATGTATTTGCTTTTAACGACAATATGTCATCCTTAATTTCTTCCTGCGTTACTGGATTTAAGAAAATTGTTTTATCGTTATAAGTTGATTCATAGTCCGTAAGACTGATTTTTATTTGCAAGGATATTTTCCGCCAAATTTTTACCAATTTGAATATAATATTTATTACAAATTTCGCTAATTTTGTTTTTGTCCTTTTCAGGGTCACCTGCCCCATCAATGACTTCTGCAATACATGTAGATAAGTCGTTACAATTTTTATTTGTATACTGATTAATAATTTCTCATATTTTTTTGTGTTTTTTTGATTGTTTAATATTATATTATTGTAATAATCTTGATTTATTTGATTAATTAAATTATTAATTTTATTTCTATGCGTTTTATATTTTGTATGCCATTCTTCAGTACTATTTTTTCTGTAGACTCTATATAGCCGATGTCTTTCTGTCATTGATTAAATTATGCCGTTAGATATCCAGTTTTTTTTTTGGTTTAATTTTCAACTTAATAGATGTCGTGGCTTTGCTTATATGAAAATTAAGAACGTTCGTTAACTCATTGGTTGCTGTCTCAACATTAATGGTATTTAATACATTAGCCAAAGATTCGCATTTTAAATTATTTTTAATTTTTTCGTAATTAATGTAATTTTTTGTAACGTACCTAGATTTATTTTGTTCTGTATTATTTTTTAAATTATGTCGAGCAACAATTTTTCATGTGCACCACCTGAAATTGCCGAAAAAGCGAAAAATGTATTGGCTAGTTTAATACCGGTAAAATAAAAAAATGTAGAATAAAATTCATATTATATCGACAAATACAGTTACAGGGTGTTACTTAGTGATAGGCCGCAATGCCCGTAATTCCATAGGCGTATTTCTGAACCAAATTCAAGTATAAAAGTTCAATACAAACATTAGTCCCGAAAAGTCTGGTTTTACAGGGCGTGAAAGCTAAAAAAAAAAAAAACGGTTTTATTATTAATATCTCAAAGATCCAGTTGACGATATTGTTGAAATTTAGCAGTGTTGTACATAATATCAATAAAGTGATAATAGGCTGCCAAATTTACTGTAAATTCGTTTTTGGTATATAAATTTGTTTTTGTACGCCTATGGTATCCATCATACCAAACATTTGATAAATCTCGAAGTTAAATCATGAATGAAACGATTTTTACAACTCTTACAAATATCGATTTTCTTATTGCGCTGTTGTTAGACATCATGTTTCTTTTCATAACGAAAGAACGTAATTACATTACTACTGTTTAGAACACCCCGTAAACTTGGCAGCACTGTTTGATCACAATATTGCATTTCTGCCAATTATGCTTCGAATATGAACTCATGTTTCCTTCAAACAATTTTTTAAACAATCATATCTGTCTTGGTTATATATCTATGATCATTATAACGCCATTTGTACATTAATAACAATTAGATCCTAAATAATATATTAAAATAAGTTTTACTACTTTTACTACTTTTTACAACCTCCAAACAAATATATTAAAAAACAAAAATTAAGAATAATTTGGTTTTGTTTGGCTCGGCTTACTGACGTCACAATAATTTCGCAAATTATAATATTTGTTAATTGCCAATTTACCATTAAATTCTACATTGAAACTAGTTCTAAAGGCGTAAAAACCATTTTTTCTGATTTTAATATTTTATACAAACAAAGAACAAAATAAATGGTTTTTTTTTTAACTTTCTTTCGCATCTATAGAAAAATTAAGTTCAAACAAATAATTATTCCACTAACAATACAGCAAAATGATTGATTTCTTTGATTATAATTCTAAAATAAATGAATGGTACAAGGAGATCGTTACCTGTTAATCAAGTAATCATGCATATAGTGCTCCGACCTTTAACACCTGTTTATTGTTTACAAAATTTCAAATGCTAATTTTCCAAGTTA